CCAGCCCACCAGCCCAATGGGCCCCCATCAGGGCCGGCCAGCCAGACCCCACCCATGCACCATTTCGTGCACTGGGCCTCTAGTCTATATATATAAAACCCTAATAGGAAAATAGACCAAATGGTGGAACAACCGAACAACCGAAAAACCGGTTGCTATTATGTGCGCTGACCACCAAGGGGCATGCATGGAACATGGCGGGTGTTGGCTGTGGTAGGATGGTGGAGCAGGGGCACTGGTTGCTGTCACAAGGGCAAGTCTCTGGTGATTACTGAAAATTCTTTGCTCCCGCTCACTGCAGTTCTGCCCGGTGCTTGCACCTGCTACTGCCGCTGGCCCCGCTTGCACCTGCTGCCAGCGCTGGAGCCATTGCTTGCACCTGCTGCTGGTGCCCAGCACTGGCCCTGGTCAGCAGATGTGAGCAGCGGCTGCCAGCCCTGATAGCCCCCCAGGGCTTCTTCACCTCCCCCTGCTCCTGAGGGGCGATCGGGGCAGCAGCCGCTGCTTGCACCTGCTGCTGGCACCTGCCCCAATCACTCTGTGCCATCAGCATGTGCGAGCAGGGCTGCTGGCAGAGAGGGAAGCAGGGACCATGGTGAAAGGGGCTGGGCGGGGGCCCGGAGGATGGGCTAAGACCCACCCCTGTGCCCACCACAGCCTAGCAGCCCACAGTTCCTTTCAAGGTGCACAAATTCATGCACTAGGCCCCTAGTGATAATATAAATAGAGAAAATGCCAAATTTATATAATCTTTGAGTTTCTGAATCCCTTGACCCATTTTTTTAAATACATATCTTGAATTCATGTTTGTTAGAGAGAAGAGAGATGTAACAAAGTTGAATTTGGCCAAAGTATTTAACCCAAATCTTATATTTGGGTTCATTTTCAGTCTTGGTCTTTGGAAAACTGAAGAGCCAAATGGATCTACATTTCTGAACAGTGATCTTATGATCATGCTGATTATCATCATATTTTATCAGCATAAAATATCTATAACATAAATAATATATAATTTATTTTAGATTTGCTGTTAATGTATAAGAATTCCCTTTCAAATGTAGATAAGAATTCTACATATAACTTATAGTACAGTTCTATGTGCTAAACATGTTAACATTCTGAAGTATAAGTGCATCTTTTGATTGCAAAATTAAGGTAGGTGGGTTGGAGGGAAGAGATTAACCAAAAACTTATATGCATATATTCATAACCCAAGGACACAGACAATAGTGGGAGTGGGTTGAGGATGGGATGGAAGGGGTCAATGAGGGAGAAAAGGGGACATCTGTAATACTTTCAACAATAAAGATAAATTTTAAAAATGTAAGTACTAATGAGAATTGTTATTTCTGTTAATTTTATGTGCAAAACAATGATTAAGTACTTTAAAGTGGTCAATAAAAGAAATAGACTGAATTTAATGTGAACATTAAGAGGGTATTATAGCTATATATCTTTAGGGATATAATATAATTTTGAGTCAACAGATGTTTATAAAAGATTAAATCAGAGAAGAGTTCTATTCTTTGTAAAATTATTTAGTAAACTATCATTTATAACACTTTCCAAAATAACCTTTTAGAACTGTATTTGATTCCATTCACAGGACACAAGGGTTTCCAGAAAATGTCAACTTGTAAACATTTCATATTTTGTGAAAATAAACTAAAAGCAAAATGTCAACTTTACCACTTAGGAATTCTGTAAGAAGGAAAATCTAAGAGATCATGTATAAAGCTATCTCAGGTGATTCATATTCAGTTCAAACTTAAGGAATATAAAGAGAATGGATAAAAGAAAAAAATATGGAAAAAGAGGTACCCAAACCCATTTTCTTCCCACTAATAATACAAAAAAAATTACAAAGATGCCTTCTAAAAGTCTGTTCTTTATAGATGCATGTTAGTCGATTTCTAGAAAGGGAGTACATCTTAAGCATCACCACAGCTGGTACTCCATATGGAAGAGATGGCCAAAGTATCTGGCTCCTCTACTGACCTCAGTTGAAATTGAACGTCAACTTAGCATAAAAAATGTTCAGTATCAGGGCTGAGAAATTTTTATTTCTTCATTATAATTCAGCTCATTAAAAAATTGACTATTAAATGTTTCAAAAATCAAGCTGGAAAATAATTACATTTTAAGAATGAAATTTCAGGTTTATTTTTGTATCCTAGAAGTTCATTTTATAATAATGATTTTCAGTGTCTGCTAAATGTTGATTTTTAACTCTGGCCATTGATTGGCCTTTGAACAAAAGGGTGGTGCACTTGATAGACATCTAGGAAGAGAGCAAGTCCTCGCTCTCTAGTGGGGTAGATCTCTGAGAGCAAGCTCTGCTCCAGGCCAAGTTCCATCCATCACCTCTGCCATTGCTGTAAGAATGCCCTTGTCGCACATTTTCCATTTTTCTGATAACATTTCTGCCATTTTCTGGAGAAATAAAATATACACGCTGTAGAATACACCTGAGCACTATTAAATCAAGTGCCTTTGATCTCTAAACAAAAAAAATCTGATTGGGAAGCCTTACAATGGAAATAAAGAAACTCCTCAACGGCATGCTTCTTGCTTGTTTTTTGTTAAACACGTTTATTGTGGCTAAAATGACCATGTTGGCCATGAGGAAGAGGGAATATGGAATCACTTCACTATAGATATACCTTTTGTGATAGAGCAAGCTCTGCTCCAGGCCAAGTTCCATCCATCACCTCTGCCATTGCTGTAAGAATGCCCTTGTTGCACATTTTCCATTTTTCTGATAACATTTCTGCCATTTTCTGGAGAAATAAAATATACACGCTGTAGAATACACCTGAGCACTATTAAATCAAGTGCCTTTGATCTCTAAACAAAAAAATCTGATTGGGAAGCCTTACAATGGAAACAAAGAAACTCCTCAACGGCATGCTTTTTGCTTGTTTTTTGTTAAACACGTTTACTGTGGCTAAAATGACCATGTTGGCCATGAGGAAGAGGGAATATGGAATCACTTCACTATAGATATACCTTTTGTGATATTACTGTATAATCTAAAGATAGTTATTTTGGAGGATGAGACACTGTATAAAACTCCCTAATATGTAAATCCCCTCACAGGTCTGAAGTTAAGAAAACGTCTAAGTCCATCTGGGTAGCTCCCTTGGTTAGAGCCTTGTCCCAATACACCAGGTTGTGGGTTCCATCCCTGATCAGGACACATACAAGATTCAACCAATGAATGCATGCATGTCTGTTTCTCTCTCTCACCATTCCTCTCTCCCTCTTTTCCTCTCTCTCTCTCTCTCTAAAAAAATAAAATAAATAAAAATAGATGTTTCTCTCTCCTTTCCTTTCTCTGTCTTCCTTCTCCACTCATTTTCCTTTAGGCATCATGGCCCCCCAGCTCCCTGATGGCCCCACACATCCCGACCACCATGCCAGACTTTCCGTTTCTCATACTGCATCGGAGCAGATCGTGCCCATCAGAGCCTGCCTTTCCTTCTTCGTCTACCTTCCACCGTCACTCTCTCAGCTGCCTTCCTGAGAGATCCCAGAATAGACTCTTTCCTTCCCCTAATCCCTCTTCACTGCTATAGTAATGGTTACTAAAACCCTTAAAACACTTCTAAACAAATATTATATGATTCCAAGAAATTCTTAATTTGAGGGATTTTATAATGACATTGTAGCTTTAAAATAAATTGCACACACACACACACACACACACACATCCTCACTCGAAGATATGTTTTTATTGATTTTAGAGAGAGGAAGGGAGAAAAATATCAATGTGAGAGAGAAACATTGGTTGGTTGCTTCCCATATGTGCCCTGAGAAGGGATTGAATCCACTACAATTTTGTATACAGATTAAGCTCCAACCAACTGAGCCACCTGGCCAGGGTAATTGTCCATATTTTTTGAGATGCACATTTAGTTTGTAGAGGTAAAATGACATAAAGTCTGGATTCCCTTCCAAATACTTTACAACAAAATAAAACAAAAAAAGAGAGAAGAGAAAGAAAAAGAAAGAAGAAGGAAGGGAGAGAGGGAGGGGAAAAAGGAGGGAAGGAAGAAGGAAGGAAGGAGTAAAAATGAAGGAATTTGGTAAAATCTTGATAATTATTGACTGGGAGATGGGCATATGGATATTATTTGCAGTACTCTACTCTTGAGTTCATCTGAACATTTTAATAATAAAAACAACAAAAACAAAAGCTTCTCTAGCTTATTACAATTTTTACAATAGAATTTCAATAATTTAAAGCCCTTCTGGAGAACTTTTGAAGAACAGACTAGAATTTAATGTTTGTTAACTGGGTACTATGAAGCAGTAAATGTGCCATGGAAAGGAATGAGGAGGAGTGTGCGTGTGCGTGTGTGTGCATGTGCGTGTGCGTGTGCGTGTGTGTGTGTGTGTGTGTGTGTGCATCAATCTCAGTGTTCTATGCATTTGCTTCAGAGAAGGGGGCTTCACTGTCCCTTTATAGGAGCTCCCAACTGTAAAGTCACTAAACATGTCTCTCAGTTATGCTTTACATGAGTAGATATAGAATTTCTGTTCCAATCAAAAACGTGAGATGCATTCCTGGTATCACAAATGACAGTTCAGTCTGAATTCCTTCACTGAACTCACCTCCCCCTCTGCCTTTTCATGGTCATTTACATAGTGGTTAGGATTTGTGTTATTATTTGGACAGTGTTATTCACCATAGATCATTGTAGGCAGGGTTAGGAATCTTCCTATTGAAAAAACGTAAGTTCCAAGTAGTTAACACAAAAACTGTGAAAGGTCAACCTTTTGGGTCTGCATGTCAAGTCAGTACTTATTTATACCAAGGTATCAGTTAGAAAAACTGAAAGAGACAGAGATAGAGATAGATAGATAGATGGATAGATAGATAGATAGATAGATAGATAGATAGATAGATAGATAGATAGATATAGATAGATAGATAGGGAGATGCCCTCATTGTATACTTTCTCCTGGTTTGGTAGAGAAGTTCTAGGGGTTTAAGTTTTCACCTTAAAATTAAACATTTCAGAGATAATCTATAATAATAAAAGTGTAATATGCTAATTAGACTGGATATTCTTCCGGACTAAGCCGGGACTGCAGCCACCATGGCTGCGAGGGAGGGATCCAGGCAGCTGCCCGAAGGCCCACTCTTGCATGAATTTCGTGCATCGGGCCTCTAGTGGAGTGTATTTATAATACCATTTTACTCTGAGAATCCCCAAACCATTCAGGCCCAGTGAACTACCCCTCATTGGTCCTCATGTGTTTAAGCTTGTGTTTAAGCTTGGCATTAGACTGAAAGGTGAATGAAGAATAGAGAGATAAGAAAGGTAGCTGAGGGAATTTTAGTCATCCATTCATCTGGATGTATGATTTTCAGGTATCTCTGTGAATTTAGCATTCTACCAGGTTTTCTGCCCACAGGTAGTCAACAAATAATTTTTTTTCTCTCTCCATTGATTATTGGACCTGAATGATCTGCCTCATTTTATGTGTGTTGCAGAATAGAAAATGCAGTATTCATTGGACTGATAACCTCTTGAGTTTTAGATTCAATGATCATAATGTCTCCTTTTACTTTTCATTGATGGTAAGGTAATCCCCTTTATACTTAGAGCATAAAACACAATAATGTTGACATTGCTACTGACACCTGCAAATTAAAGCTTTTATCAGCCCAATATAACTAACAAAATCAGCTTGTTATTAATATAGTCTACTCTGCTGTTTAAGTGGAGACCTGCAATATTTAGAAAGATATTTTTATGATTTAGGAAGTGATAATTTCATTCTTTTTTAAAAATAAACTTTGTGTATGTAACTTCCACAATAGGATAAGTCTCAAACAGGAAGTGATCGAAGGGGACATTATCAAAGAATCCCACCGAGATTGCAGGGTTCTGTATTCAGTCCAAAATAACATGAGTTTATAAATAGTAAACTAGCACAGAACTTCATATCAACAGGTACAAGGTCTTAAATTATTTTCCTGTGATTAAATTACAAAGGTGCTACTAATTTTATTTGTTAAAGTTAGAGCATATTTCACTCTAAGTATTTATCTTACCTTTGGGAGATGTTCCAACTGCTGATTGTGTAACAAGATTTAGTGATGTCGTTGTGACTGGTGTTGGTACAGATGTTTTTGCTGCAGAAATTGTTGATGATTTTAATAGAGGAGTGGTTGCATCTGAAAAAAAAGTAAATTGTGTCAAAGTGGTTGCATTAAAATTTACATTTATTTTGCCAATCAACAGACTATTATATTTAAATAAAATGAACTCTATGTTTATGTTGTTAACACAGCCAGTAGGGTATGAATTTGAAATTAAGTTTCTAATTGTTATTAAGTTAGCCCTGAGTAGTATTCATTCACAATCCCATCTGCTTCTCACCAATGGCGTGAATTTTCAAGATGGCTGGCATGAGCAGTCTGTGGGTCTGAAACAAAATAGTATCTGACAAAACTAGTGAGGAAAATATGAGTACATTTAAAATTTAACAGTATTTCAAATCAATTAAACTAATGTCAGATGAAATAATTAGACACTCTCTGGGCAGTGGATATTTTACTAATATTTTCAATTTTGCAACATGCCTACATTTTTGGCCATTGAGTTACTATAAATCTGCATTTTCAAATGTTTTACTTCTCTAAATTATAACAACCAAGGGCACAGAAATGAAGGCGATTGTGATCTATATTACATATTTACTGTTAATAATTCATTCTTTGGAAATAAAAACTCAATATTTTAATAATAATTCTTAGAAGTCCCATTAAAATATTAATAATTTTTCAAATTGATGTAGGAGTTAATTCTGCATGATTTATAAAATATTTGTTTCACGTAATATTATTATAATTTATTAGCATTTATATAAGCTTTTTGATCCTCTATATTGCTATTCTTGCCTCTGTATACTCACTGTTGGGTTGAAGATCAAAAAGCAACAAACAAATGTCTACATACTTGGAAAAAGTATTCATGTCCAGAGAAGGCATTATTTTTATGGTGTATGTATAGTCAGTGGAGTATATAGTATAGCATTTAGTTAAGAAGATGGATTTTGAATAACAAAAACTTATATTCAAATCCCACTGCTATGTCATTTCAGTAAATGTATGTCACTAGTATACGTTTTCAAATTTAAATTTCATCCCAAATTTTCCTCTTTTAAATATTGAATGGCATCCATAATTTTAAAAGTTTTTTAATTAAAAAATAAGATATGTAGCCTACGTATTATAATTATGCCTTTTACATTTCAAAAACAGTAAAGTTCAAAGGTTATTTTTTGCCGTACTAAAATAATTGTTTTAATCCTTTAAAATGTATACATAAACTCATCAATTATAACTTTTATTACATTAAAATATAATGTGCTAACTTCTTCAGTTATAATGAATAAAAATAAACTTAACTTAAAAATTTTTCCTCTTTTGAATCTGGAAAATACCAATAATTTTTCATGTCAGTGAAAAGTAATATTTCAGATGCCATGACATAGGGTGTATTTCCTATTTCACTTTATAGCAGTGATTTTCAACCTTTTTCATCTCATGGCACAGATAAATAATTACTAAAATTTTGCGGCTCATCAAAAAATATATTATAGAATTTTTTGCCAATTTGACAAAAATAGTAGGCGTGATTTTGATTCATTCACCTCGGTGGCTATTGTGTTGGCTGTTGTCGGTTTTTTCATTTGACAATCTAAGGGAAAAGAGGTCAGTGCCCCTGACTTACTAGTCAGGTGTTGCATGTGTTAAAAATTCTTGTGGCACATCCATTGGAAATCGCTGCTTTATATTTTTGAGCGCTTGGCAATGTTAGCACTTAGCACCAACTTTGTTGACAGCCAGTACACAGAAATTGCTTGATGTATTCAGCATATACTAGTTGTGTTCAGCACATACCAAAATGACAGAACTGCTTTTTCACAGGCTTATGGAAATCAAGTCAAAAGCTTTTTTCACCTCTGGAGATATACTTCACACCTTTGGTGTCACCCGTCTCCTTCCCACAATATTCATCAGGGAGAAGGAACATAGCATAAATGAGGTTATCTTCTCTGTTAGTCTATTTGTTCTCACTATCTTTCTTTTTCTCCTGTAGTCCATGATGAGACACTAATTTCTAAGTTTAAATTAAGGTTGACGAAGTTATTCAAGGAAGCACATAACACGTTGACTGGAATTTTTTTTCTAGAAATAACTTCAGTGATTCCCATCTGTTGACTTCCAAAATAGTAACAATCTTAATTTCTGAGTATAATCAACATCTCTAGAGATATTTTTCTTATATCTTCCCTCCCTCTCTCTTTTTCTTCTACCCTTCCTTCCTTTCTTTCTTTCCTACCCTTTTTCTTCCACAAACAGTAACAAATATGAAAAGCATGACTCAATACAATAAAATATTCTATAATGTACCACATGGTATCACCCTTGAGTAGCTTTCAAACCTGTAAGAAATGTGATGCTTATACATAATAAATAATAAAGGATATTTTTGTATGTAGAACAGTGTTTTCCAAAGTGCAGGTTATGATGCATTTAGAGACTAGTGCATAACCTGTTGCATTTAAAGTCATATCTCCTTCCATCCCCATACACTCAGCTTTGAGTGGTGAGCACACAATGCATTATACGGATGATGTATCATAGAATTATACACTTGAATCCTATATAATTTTATTTTCCAATGTCACCCAATAAATTTAATTAAAAAACAACAAAATCTGTTTAGTGGATTATAGTCAGAGCTTTTGCCAAATGAAAGAGAAAAGAGACAATATTAGAATGATATTGGAAATAACTTCATGAACCTTTTGTTTTAGCGCATGTATGTGTGTGTAAATTTAAGTGAAATATGTGCCATGCAAAACATATTCCTTACTGTGATTCCAGCTAAACATTTGAAAGGTGCTGTCCAAAATATTGGGCAAGAGATTATAAGATAAAAGATGACCACCCTGCTGGCATGCGCAAGGAATGCTTCGTTTGAGAATTGACATAAGAGCTGGAGTTTTAAGAGTGTTTCCACACAGGAAGAGGAGAGGACATGAGCATAGGTCTGGAGTGGGGAACTGAGAAGTAATTGAGAAGACTTCAAACAGTTCTTTCTGGCTGGATTGTAATATCCTATGAAAGGATAGAGTGGATGTTTGGTAAAATTCTGGAAGCCAGATTTTAGAGAATCTTGAACATCAAGCCAGGGACTTGGGACATTATCAATAAGTCAGTAGGGAGTTTTGGAAAATGAGCAAACATAAATTGTCCTGTAGAAAAAAACGACCAGGAAATGGTGTGGCCGAGAATGAGAAGACACCAGTGGAAGTGAACGTCCCCATTTTTATGTTAGCAATGTCCTCTGCCCTCCTGAAGTCAGCAGGTGAGATCAACGAGTTCCCGCCCAGGAAATGACTTGAGACAAATTACAAGGAGGCATATTTCTAACCACTGATGAGGTAAGATTGAGCTGTACTGTAAGACTTTTCTCCCTCAACATCCTTCCACACATTTGGCCACTGATTTCCTTGAGTAACCCTTACTCCATTAATACTCATAATTAACATCTCTATTATTAGTTCTTCAGATTGCTCAACAGAGAGTATGTCCTCTTTTGGCAAGGACTGACAACTCCTAAAAGTATTGAGTGAACCAGGAGAGCTAGGTTCAATGTGAGCTCTTTCTGCAGATTATATCATTTAATCCTAACAAAGGCAGTGCATCGTTTTACAGATTAGGGCCCTGAAGCTCAAAGAGGCTAAGCAGCTTGCCCACATTACACAGGGGGGAGTAGTACAGTCGAAATGTTAATTCAGACAGCCTGGACTTCAGAGAAGACACCATTCACCACCACACGTCTTGCTGTGGGAAGGTGACTCTCTGCAAAGCCACATACCCCAACTCCACCTGCTCTCTGCCTTTGTAAGGTGTGATAGTAAAAGGGAGGAAATGACTAGACAGTGTTTTGCCTTTATGTACCTAGAATTAAAAAATAGATAAAATAATTCACCATTTTTTCCTTAAAAATAACAAACATTCATTCTTTCATATACACATACATACACACACATATTAGACTTACTGCTTTAAAGGACATTTCTAATCTGCTAAAACTTTATTTGAAAAATAAAAATAGAGATGAACTCAATTTAAAAATCAGCAAATAGAAACTTTTTCTTATTGTATAGTGGATAAGAATTATTCCCATTAACTACCACTGTTGAAGGTTTTATTGTCCATGATGCAAGAAGCAGTTATAATTGTACTGTATTTATTGTCTAACGTTTCTTCTAGGCTTGATTTGATGTCATCAGAAACTATTTAAGAAAATGGTTTATTCTGAAGTATTTTCTCTTCATAGGACATGGTGAAGTAGCAGTTCCCTCTCCTTAGCTCCAAGGCGATTAAAGATAAATTTAACAAGACCTGTGCTTTGCTTATGCCAATGGCTTTGCTTGTGCCAAGTCAGATAGTGTTGCTCCTGGGAAGTTGTAAGAGAAACAGATGGCATTTTGTCCTGATTCCATCCTATGTCCATACACCCAGACTGAGAGAGCACAGGGACACCATGACACTAGTTTCCTGTGCTATGAAAGGATAAAGCATTGCTGGGATTTTAATCAAATAACTATTTTAATTGTAGAAATTATATGATAGATTTATGCTAAGGATCTATTTACATAGATCCTAAATAGTCTTCCATTCTCTGAAGTTCAATATAGGGAATTCCCCAGTGTTCATATATAACATCATATGGCAGTGATGGCGAACCTATGACACGCGTGTCAGAGGTGACACACGAACTCATTTTTTGGTTGATTTTTCTTTGTTAAATGGTATTTAAATATATAAAATAAATATCAAAAATATAAATCTTTGTTTTACTATGGTTGCAAATATCAAAAAATTTCTATATGTGACACGGCACCAGAGTTAAGTTAGGGTTTTTCAAAATGCTGACACGCCGAGCTCAAAAGGTTCGCCATCACTGCCATATGAGGTCTTTCTTGTGAACTTGCATATCTTGTCTTTGAGAAGTCAGCTTATGGCTGGAAACCAAGTATCATATTTTCAAATGACCAAGTCATCTACCCTAATCTTTCTAGGTAACTCACAAATAGTCTCTAAAAGTTAGAATTTCATTTATCCTCATAATGAGCAGCTATTGCTCTAGTTAT